ATCTCCCCGCACCGACCCCCCGGTTCCCAAGTAATGCCAGCCACAGCATTGCGAATTCCTCAGGGAGGTGCCAGTCTCATCCTCTTATCTCTCCCTCTCGCCTCCGGTGATGAAAGAAAATGTTTTTCTCCCTGAGCCTGGCCTTCATAACTCCATTCCATCACAATTTCTCAGCAAGGTTGTTAGTTAGCCTTCAACTACAGAGGATCCTGGATAAATTAAAAGACCTGGACCTCTTGCATTTGGATTTTTGGCTAGGTGATGACACTGCATTGGTCACTCTTGTGGATGACTTGGAGCACCCCTTCTCATTCTGTTCTAATTCTCAGTGGTGTTCAGTAATACAATTCATGTTACCCTTTGAAGCCATGCATGAGGCTTGGGGATTGGAGGCACTGTTTTGCAGTGACTTCACTTCTTTCTGAGCAGGTAGTTTCAATTACTGTTGGGAAAGGAGAAGTCAAAGCCTTAGGCCCCCGTTGTGGAGTGCTCCAGAACTTGGTCTTCTCTCTCATACTGTTTAACATCTACCTGAACCTGCAGGAGAGGTCATCCACCTCAACAATACCCAGCTTTACATTTCTACTTCAGGCCTAGCAGGAGATACAGTGAAAATCCTGACCCGGTGCTTGGGCCTACATGAGTAGTAGTAGACTGGAGACTGAACCCCAAGATGAAGCTGCTGTTTGTACAGAAACTCTGGTTCCATTGATGTTCCACCTGTTGTTCTAGATAAGGTTGCTGTGCAATCTGGCAGTTCTCCTGGACTCGCAACTTCTACCGAACAGCAACAGAAGTCACGACCGGGAAAGCCTTTGGGCTGCTTGAGGAGGAGGGGTGTGGCTAGTTACGTCCCTTCCAAAGAGGCACTGGAGACAGCGGCTCGTCCCCTTATTCACCTGCGACAGCACTCTGGTTTGCCTAGCAGAGCTATCCTGGAAGCTGAGATGGAAGCTGAGGCTGCTTGCTGACGAAGGCCAGCCAGTCCAGCAAAGTAACCTTATTTTGAGGTTGCCCACCCCTGAGGCCGAGACCGGGGCAGGTCATTTTCACAGCAGCCCTTTCACTCTGAAAAGGTTTGCCCCAACCAGTTGTGCTCCAGGTAAAGATTGGCAGGAGGAGCTATTTTACTTTAATGCTGAATAGTTTTTATGGATCTTGTTATCACTATGTCGTGTAGGTGGCATATAAATACTGGTAATAAACATTTTGAAAACAAAACACAGGTAACCCGTGCAACGAAAACAAGTTTGTTTCAGGGGCATCAAAGGAGGTGCCCGAAGTCATTCAAGACAATACCGGTTCCTACCAGTATCTCCCCACCATCTTTACTGAACACAAAGAAGGGAGTCCAGTGGAAAAGCAAAGCCACATTGGGGTTTTAAAAGCTTTCCTTGGGGCCAAGGGCTGCTCCTGAACTCGAGGCAACATCCTGGCAGTCACGCTCCCAAGTGAGCAGAGCCAAGACCCTGAACAGAACGTGATCTCCACCTAGTGCCTCTCCTTGGTGGGAATAAACCAAGGGCAATGCTGGAAAGGGCACTGGCGGCCCCAGATCCGTTAAACTGCAAAGGGCTGCAGCAGAGATTTCAAAGGGCCTTTTTCTGGAATCAGTTTTAGTCCTGCACCCTGCAATGTTGATAGTAAGGTAATAATAATATGGTAATAAGACATTCATGGCCAGGTATCTTGTCCACAAAAGTACCCAAAAATGTAAGACAACTAAATTCCATAGGAAAAAAATATTTTATTAAACAATATACCACGTTCCATCATGGCTCCAGGGAATTCATATCCCATTATTAATGAAGACAATGATGTGGCAACTGGGTGAAAGCAGTGAATCAAAGGATAAAAAGAATTTCTAAAAAGTGACAGAATCAATAGTAAAAAAACCCCACACCGTTCTAGGAAACTTGGAGTCACCAACAGGAAACCTAAGCCCTTGAACCACCTAGCAGGACCGTGAATGCTGCATTGACCAGGATAGGCCCAGCGTTGCTCACATGCTGGCATTTTGCCCAAGCCCAGGGAAAAAGTATGTCCCTCTTCTGAGATGGAGCCCTCTGGGCAATGTCGGGGGGGGGGGCAGGGGGGGGGCAGAATCCAATTCCTTTGGGGCCAG